CGCTTAAAGCTGGAATTGAACGGTATTCACCAAGTACTTCGGCAAGAACTTATGTTTTACATTGTGAAAAACTCTTGTCATATAGAAATTGGAGGCATTTTCGCGGTCTATCTACTGGTATATAGTTCATTTGGCTTGCATTAAGACTCCCCTCTCTCCCTCAAAATCGAATCTCACCTTAGGTAAATGCTATACACGTGAAATTTCCAGCGTTTATTGGTATTGATAAGAGAAAGCTGTGGTAAATTTTTCAGGTTGATGAAAGCTGTCGTGACCGGTTTCGTCCTTGCATAAGGTACTCATCAGATGGCTTGAATTCGGTTTCCGAATCCATAGGGAAAGGGCGCCTTTGGTGTCTGAATAGATCAGAATACACTAACCTAAAATAAGACAACCTACACATTCGTGTACATTTATCTGCCAGTGCAGTAGTGACAAGTGGAGCATCGCTAGTAGATGTAGGGATGTCTTCATTTGAGGCTTATGCTGCAAAAGTGCAGGTTGTCTTGTTTTATGTCAGTGTATACTGATCTATTCAGATACCGAAGGGCTCCCTTTCTGTATGGATTGGTCAACCAAATTCAAGCCATCTGATGAGCCCCTTAGGCAAAGACGAAACCGGTAACGGCAGCTTGCATCATTTCGGAATTCTAAAAGCACTTTAAACTAGGGGTGAGAAAGTTATTTTACGATTTCTCAAATTATTTACGACTGGTTCTTATACCAAATGGTAATAAAGATACTGTATGAATAAAGTGAGTTTTTGACGTACGCACAAACTATGCGCACACCTGCTTATATTTCTTGAAGAACGCCATAAAAGGGCCTACTTTAGAAACGTACTTGGAGTGGAGTGGTACAAAGAGGTCAAAATGGACGTAATTTGGCTTGTTTCTGCACACCGGCACAATGATATTCACGAGAAAACATGGGACAACATTTTCATGATTTCCTAGAGAAAAGCGATAATTGTCTATGATTGGAAGAAGTCGCTCCTTATTTGCTTCTCTGACTCGCCATAGCTCTAAAGATTCATTGAGATTTGAAAAGAAAATGGGATCGAAAGATGGTTGTGTATCTAGAAAAGACCCCAATCATCGGGACTGTCTGCGTTGTTAAAGCAAATGAGATATTACGATGAGGTCGCAAATCATATGGACTTGAACTCTAACGGGAAACTTATTGAACTCACATAAGAGAGCCATATTTTGTTCGTTAGATTTGGCGGCTACTTTCAGTTTGGATAAACCACTGGCGACTGCGTCAACAGTGGAATGTCGGTTAGGATCAACCTGTTTCTTTGGAGATGTAGTAAAAGGCGGTTGAATCAATGTTACAGGTGGTTCAATCTGTTTAATATGTATTATACGCAGTTCATTTCCTTGTTTAATACTGTCAATGACTTCAAAGTAGCTACACGGCAATAGCAAGACTTCACCTTCAGCTGGAAACTGTGAATGGTTCTGTACCATCTTTCCATTGAAACACTGGATATTGAAGAGAGTCCGTGTTCCGTATTCTCCGAGAAACTGTTGAGACTGTAGGACAGACAGTTTTGTTGAACATGACGAGAAGCCCCACCAAACAAACTTTTTCCCTGCTGGATACTGATCAGTCAGATTTCCCTTGACTCCACGCCAGACAACGTCTCGGACAGAGTCTAACTTCCATAGGGCAGTGATGAATAGTTTGAGATAGGAGAAGTAAGGCGTTAGTGACTGTCGCTGTTCACTTCGAAGAGCCGCATTCACTTCACGATACATACACTCCATGGTGTAGAGATAAATTGCAGAGCGTTCATCTGGTGTTAATCCATCTTTTGGTTCTTCACAGTTACCGGTAGCTGTCCAGACGTATGTTTGAATGTTTTTGATCAGCTTTTCGAGCGGCTTAACTGCTTCTTCGAGAGAGACCAATGGCTTTAGTTCGTAGCCTTCGATTGGTCCCAACCGTCGCTGTGGTTCGAAGTTGACGTCGAGAAAACGTCCTGTTGGTGTTTGAGCAGTGAATTTGTCATCCTCAACAAACTTTTTCGCCATAATGTATTCGTGGATGGAAGAAAGTAGAGGGTACAAAAATGATTTGATTTTTAAACTTAAATTAGAAAAGTTAGTAGTGAAAGTGAAAAGAGAAGATGCTTAAAAGGTGTCCAATAAGTTTTGGCCCACTTAATTAATATTATTCTTTTTACATGTTTCTTTATTGGAAAAGGCTGATATTAACAGTATATATATACTACTGTCTATCCAAAAAAGAATGATCCCAGCCACTTTTCGAATAACCTGAGAACAAAAGCAGCTAGTGACCTGTGGTTTTCACCATTCGGAAGAAGACAGCGGGAGACGTCGATCTATGTTAGAAACCACGAACTGATCAATGGTCAGTGTTGGTCAACTTGTGATGGGTATTTTGAAAACGCTGTAACCATACTTGTCTCTGATGGATTTTGAATCAGATTCCTTTAAATTGTGCAAGTCGCACGAAACTTTTTTTTTCCATATATAAGTAGATATAATTTAAATAATATTCGTATATTGAACAAGTAAAACAAAGAAAGGGTTTTTTTTATTTTTTTATTTGTCTTATTATTGAAATTAACAAGAAGGAAATATTATAAAAAATATAAGAGGAGGAGAAAAAAGATAAAGAATTTAAGCAAAAAAATTAGTAAAGAGCAGGGGAAAAGAAGGAATTTTATATTGCATTGAATATGGATAGTAAATGCTAGGCCTTTCGAATATGGCTTTATCAAGCGATTTTTTTAGCTGTTTCGTTGAGATACACATTTTATCTAAAATTTATGACTACACAGGAATGTGTAGCAATACGATCGTTCCATGTTGGGTGTGGGTGTGAATGAAGAGTATGTGAACAGTGCACTTAAATCCGCGCCCGCAATCATTCTGATACTGACACATATACGCTCACTCACACCCATACCCACAACCGACAGCTACACCCACACCGCACTGGACAATTATATTGTCGGTTCAATAATCACCAAAATACGGTGCAGAATTTATGGCCGACTTATTTGTTTTTGGCAAATCAGAAATAAGATAAAAATGAATCTGTTACAACAAATAAAATCGCTTGCTTGATTTTATCACTGACCATTGTTAATATTTTACAGAAAGAGCATGTTTCAAAGGAGTATTATATTGGGGACCATTTCTGACGGTTTTGTTTTGACCAAGGAAATTTGGGTTGAAAGACATTTTCTGACAGAGGAAACGTCGGAGATATTTCATCGGAGACAGTTTTTAAATGATGTTCTCGCCTCTTACCGAAGTGTTTTTTTGCTACCGTTTGCTTGACTACAGTCAGTTGTTGTTGAAATGAAAAATCGAAGGAAGCGACTGTTTTGTTGGTTAGAACATCAACGAATGTTTGTTTTTCATTCTCCTTCTTCGCATGTAACGAATTTTAAATTGCTTCATGTAGCACGATGCAACAATTTTCGCATCGATTTTTCTTTTCTCAATAAACGTATGGAAGAGGATGTGGGTGTGCACTGAAAACAAAATCCGTCAAATAATAAACGGAGAAAATGTTTTTGATAGAGTATTAAACAAACAGTGGGCTTATGAGTTTGCAACGGGACATAAACCATTTTTTCCGTATATATCAAAGATAATAAGCGTTTTTCTCACTTATGATTTTGAAAATCGGGCAAAAGGAGTTATGTCCCGTTGCAAATTCATTAACCGAGCCGACGTAGATGCACAGTTGAACGGACATTTGGATTGCTGAAAAATCGGTTTCGTTGTTTAAAAAGAAAGATGGAGTTTCATATAGATAATACCACTAGTATTATAAAAACACTTGTTGTTTTACATAATTTATGTATTATCACAGGAGATCATTCTGAAGCTGATTGGGATATGTTTGCTTTTGAAAATATTTATAAAAAGCCTTTATATAAAGCATCAACAAGTGGTGGAAATGATGTTCGATATGCACTAACAGAATATTTTTTGAAAAATCCAATATAAAGTCTTGTTGTTCTCATTGTTTAGAAGTAGTTTTCTTACTTACAATTTTCAATTAAATTAGATTTTGATATTTATTAATATGATTACTTTCTTGTTATTCTAGATAAATAAGAAATTTTAATTTAAATAAAATATACATACCAGCATTTTGATTATAGCATCCTAAATAAATTATATTATTTTATACTGGTTTGATAAAACTATCAATCAAATGTCAAAACAAAACAATAGGTACATCTAATACAGCCATTTATTATTCGACTCCATTTTTGATAGAAATGATATTTAATCAACCCAGGACATTATAGATCAGTCGGTTCTTGTCGGACGGGTTATAATTCCGATGTAACATGGTGACCGGATTCGGTCGGTTAATTTCTGGTGAATTCCGATGATTTTCTTTGTTTTATTATCAAATCTGGTTACCGGTTTCTCCGAGAACCAGCCAGATTTACATTGCCGGAAAATATCAGGTCAGATGATACGATTGGGCCGTATACGACGTGATCCGACAATATCCGGTAACGAAACTTTACCGGAATCCGCGTGCCGCATGACGCTCAATTTCATGGTAGATCCGGCTTAATCAGTCTCATCGGAACCAATCGGATCATATCAGAACCGAACGGTCTTACTCACCGGATTAAGCCACTTACTAAAACACAGATCTGACCGACAGCATCGACAACTAATTACCAGATGCTAAAGAAAGATCTTGTGATTCATTCCGACTCTTAGTTAACAGCTCATACAAGCGGTGAAAAGCATGAATTAAACAGTATGGTTCATTCAATAGCTTATTTATGAAAAATCAATCCACATGAGCAACATGATTATGTATTTATTGATGCTGAGCAAAATTATCGATCCGAATGAATCTCACTCAGCTCGCTTATCATAACTCCAGCTAATATAACATAATTCTATGCTCGACTCCTGGTCTACCCCGAAATCCACAGCCATTAATGATTACCCAGGGCAAGATAAACTTCCTCTATACTCACACTACCTTGTTCGTCCATGCAACTCGACAAAATTTAAAACGTGTTACACATGTGTTTCCTCGGTCTGACAACACCAAAAGCATCATTTCAAATCACCAACAAACGCTTTTGCGGACGCTCGAATGCTGCTTACACATAATATTAAAAATTCCATATGCCATTAAATCGTTTTCGTATGTCACTCAAAATCCTGTTTCACGAGGAAAAGGTACGTTAGAACCATCGAGAATGCTTATCTGAACAATTCTCTATGTCTTAGTGAATTTTTCGATCTCTCAAAAATTATGTTTGGAGTGATTTTGTGTTCGTGTTTATGCAACAAGATAACTCTTCAATGATGTTTACAATGGCAATGATTGTTGAAAAAGAAAGTGGTGATGATCCGAAATGATACTCAGATGCATTTTCTATGAATTATTAATGGTTTCGATGGGTGCAAAACAATGTTGGGAGCGATGTTTTCAAGAACTTAAATGCAACAAAATGACACAGTAAACGGGTTTATAATGTGTTTACTAAATACGATGTATAGTAGGTTGGTTCTGGATCATTCTTAGTGTGTCTATTGGTGAGTCAGGTGTTGTTGGTTTCGGGTTACAATGCTTTTTAGGGTGATTGCTGTTGGGGAAAATGTTTGTTGTGGACCCGTTTGAGCGGCGATGATTTGGATTATGTGTCATTATCCATCAGGCGTAGTCGTTTCGGTTTGTGTGCGTGTTTCTGAATACTACAGTTGATTCATCTTGTGGTTAAAGAACGCTTGTATGAAAGATTTTTTATGATGTCCTTGTCTTCGAAATCTGACGGAATCCGGTCAAATATGTGCAGAAGCCCTTGTGAACCGAGATCATCCGGTAGTTCGGGTCGATCGGTTGCGACAATGTTCGGTTGTATTATCCGGCAGGAAACGATCGGACCATTTTTCTTTGCATTCCGGCCCAGATTCCGGGAGCAGAGATTCTGGCGAAATTCCTGTCGGATCCTGGCAGATTTGAGTGGGAAACATGCCAGCTTCTGGAGAGATTCGGTGCTGGTTCCGATGGGTTTCGGAGGCAGGATCAAGTGTCTTGGGAATCTATAAAAAATTTCGAAGAAAATTTATCGATTGGTCATTGCATATTCTGTTATTTCTGATTGATTGATTGTAGCTGTATAAAGAAAAACAAATGTACTAGATATTGGATATTCAAACACTTTTTCAGCTTTAAAGATATTCAGTTTTTAAGTTGCCGATGACATCAGCTGGATCAATATTCATCATCACCAATAAGCTCTTTCAAGTCGAAATATTCAAATTGATTACGTTCAAAGATTGAATCACTTTTTTTCTCTCAATAAAATGAAAAAAATGATCAACTATCTATTTTGATAAGAGATCATGAAAATCGGTTAACCGAAATATAGTCAAAAGTCTGAAAAATCGTCTTTTGGTACTTGCCAGGTTTTTAATTGACGAATCATTATCTATTATTCATCTGGAGTTTAGCGAGGAAATATAGCACCAATCGCACTTTTGATAAATATGTACTAAAATCTCAAAAGTTATATATTTATGTCTCTTACATTCTAAGATTTATCTTTAATGAGAAACACGAATTTTTTTTGGCGTTTCAGAGTAAACATATCCATTACATGGCTGCCTTCTTCTACTCTCGATGAAGATATTTTCATGATCCTTATTTGATCATGTCGACAAAGTAAAAGAAAATTTTATTTAAATTCAAGAGAATAATTTGTATTTAACGAAGTCTTATTGCATATGCTCGCAAGTGATTCTTTCAGAATTTCTTATCTGATTTTTTTTCTTTCTGAAAAACAGATCAAGTTCGTTGTTTCAATCGATTTTTTTTTCTAACAAATGAAAATATTTCAAAAGATCTATCTCATATCTATGAGTAATCTATTGTCTTAATTTGTTTCATAGAATTTAAAAATCTAATTTGATGACTTCACAAAATGGTTCAATACTAATCTAGAAATAATCTGAAAATTTTATTATGCCTCAAACATCATTATAGGCGATGAACTTTTATTGTGCTTTAATGCATGCAGAAAACAAATCTAATTTCATTTGCAATAAAACGTTTCAGTGACTATGAGATATGAATTCAAGAAAAGCAAATTGATATGGTTTCACAATTGATTATCATTTATCACAATAGAAGATTTTCTACTAAAACAAAATGCATTATATGAGTCTTATACGAAGCAGAATCATTGTGATACCTAAAGTTAATTTCGATAGTTATTTAAAAGAAAATAATCTTTCCTTTTTTTTGTATTAACACAACTTTAATGAAATATGATAGCATCTATCAACAAGAGCAATTGTTAGCTTTATTAATTTGTTTTTCATCGTTTAAAGCATTTAGTAGAACTAAAAATAGGATTAACAAATGTTACACGTAACTCTACATGATGTATTTCTTCTCAACTATGAGACGAAACATTAAAAGAAAACATTGCTAATTTTTGTTTTGATAGCTATTGATAATAGTAAGACTTTTAAAGAGTTTTAAAATCTGAAAATATCTTATAAGCTACGTAAAATTTATATGAGAAGCACATATAAATATTATTTAGAATTCTGGAACGGATGTAAGATTCGATAAACTAAAAATTCATTGATTAAAACAGATATTTTAATGAGGAAAATACAATTCATTTCATCTCTGAATAAAGTGATGGAATTGCAATGATGAATGCATCGATTTGATCCTTTTATTGTTTTCTTGCTTTTAGCTTTTTGGTTTTCTAAGTTTCTAGATTTTATTTTCTTGTTTTAATAATAATTTCCACTTTAATGCTAATTTCATATTGAGAGTACGAAACTGATCAACTTTTGCAATTTTCTTAGGAGAATTCTGAATAATTATAATTATAATTATAAGCATGATAGTACGTATTATCCGTATCCATTGCTAAATATCAAGAAATGTTTCAGTGCATCTAGGTAGGGTGTGGATTTGTATTCGTTCAATTGTCTACGTTTCAAAAAATATTCGAAAAAAAAAATCATTCATGAGATTACTCTTGACAGCTGAGTAGATTGTTTTTTTAACAAAATCTTTCGAAACCCATGCTTGCCGGTATTATTCTATTTATAGCAACAAATACAGGCTTTGAAGATCTAAAATATGCTTTTGTATCTATAAGTGAGTATACTTCTGTCCCTGACTACATGATGAATATCAAATATTCTTTGTTAAAAATCAAGATGCATTCGTAACTGCGAAATAATTAAACATAATTTATGTGTAGCTTGAGAAGAGATAAAATTTTGTAAGAAAAGTTCTTTGTGTATCTGAAGAGATCTTCGTACATATGTTTGAGTAATTGACAATACTTTCACTTGACCAGTATAAATATATTTTTAGTGAAAACAATGAGCAACACTATGTTGTTGAATATACAGTACTTACTATGTTTTAAATGTCTATTGTATGATTTTTATTTTGGAAAAAAGAGAATATGAACAATAAAAATTTTGATTAAACCCAATTAAACGAAAGGTTCATCAAACTTCGGTAATTTAATCTAGACTACTCGTTATTTGAAACTTCTCTTTCTTTTTGTAGAGATCATTGAATAATACTATAGAGTCGAGGATTATTTTTGATATCATTGAAAATATTTAAACTACTTTTGAGTCAGAAAAAAAATACATCAATCTTTTCAGATATAAGCTTCAGCCTTCATTTCAAAGAATCAGAAGAATTCCTAAGAACTTCAAATAGAACACTAAATCGATATAGACTGAAGAAAAGTTTCTCAAATAATTATTGTGAAATATAATATTGACGATCGATCTGAGTTTGAAGCATTGCATGCTTGTTTTGCTTTTCAAGCAAGTTGGCCTTTTAACGTTTCTAAAACGTAGCTAAGGTACTTTCTAGTTATGAGACATGCGCTTCAACGTTTGGTCTGACTATTTTGTAAAAAGTTGTTCTGCCCTACGCTGATGTAGTATTATGTTTGAAGTTCTGAGGACTTCTCATGATTCTCTGAAATGACAACTGACGATTATCTAACAAAAGATCTATATTTTTTCCTGACTTAACCTCAGTTCAAAATATATTTAATGATGTCAAAGATAGTTAATCATTAATTGTGATTATCTTTATCTTGTCTGTATGAAGAAAAGAAAACGAGTTTCAAATAAGCTTCTACTAAGAAACAACATTTAATCACATTGGATTAGATTGGAGTGAAAAAATTGCAAATGTTTATTAAATTGTCATATATGAATTATTCATGTAGTCAGAAAAAGAAGACGCGAGTATCATTTATTTACATTTTCATTTCAATTATGTAAAATTGCTTTCATAGTATGAAGTAGTTATTTTGATATAAGAATTAACATATTCTGTAGTTCAATATAGATTTAATTAATTCATTTCAAATTCGAACATACTTCTTCGAAAATAGAGCTAATTGTACTTTTTTTGAGAAAAAAAAACAAAAAAATAGTATTGAGATTTTATTTAATTTGAGATGATTTGTAAGTTAGTGAATAAGAAAACAATGTTAAATATAAAATATTAAATATGGATAGGTTTGCCTCTGTTGTTATTTGAAATATTCGAGAGTGAACAGGTGCATTGATCTATTGACGTCGATCATGGAATCCAGCGCACAAATAGAAAGAAAGAAACAAACAAACAAACAATAGGCGAATGAAAAGAAAATAATTGTCAACATCCGCTTCTTGTTTAAAAGCGCGGTCGCTGCTATTACAACAAGCCCAGTTTTTCATCAGAACTAAAAAGAAATGAACGAAGATCAAACCGAAACGAGAAAAGAAGAAAAAGAAAGCAAGAAAACGCTACGTACTTCTTGCTTTTCTTTTCTTCTGTTTTAGTATAACTTGGTTAAGACTAATTAAACTTTTTGATGTTTGCATAAAGACTAGTAGAAATAACTGATCTAGTTGTGTCTCGTTTATACCGATGCAACAATTTCAATCAAAATATCATTATGGTACTCCGTTGAGTATAAATTCTTCTTCTTCGTCAACATCAGTATTTCCAAATAAACTTAATGGAATATTTCCATCGCATCGTTTATCGCAAACATCAGCGAGTATTCAATCTATAACACCAAATCAATCACGTCTTCTAACCAATTGTGATAATGAATTAAAGTTATCAGAAAAAGTCAAATATATTCTATTAATCATGATTTTAACTTTTACTTATGCTTTTCTTCTTACAATTACAATTGAATTGGCAACAACTCTTGTTAAATATAAAAAAGAAAATGATCTCTTATCATCAATGAATGAAATTTCCAATTTAACACAAATTAATAATGAAATAAGATTAGAAGTTAAAAAATTTCCAATTCGTTCATTTTTTGCATGTATATGGCTTTTTCATGTGTTCCTATTCTGTATTTGTTTACTTATACATTTATTTGTCTATCAATAATATCCAAGACGTGGCCGAGCAAGAGCAGCTTTTCTCAGGTAAAAATAGAAAATCATTGAAAAAGAATAAATATTGAAAATAACATTTTTCTGTTAAAAGTTTAATTAAATTTTGTTTCGATACATAGAATAAGGTATATGAATATCGTTGTTTTAAGTTTGAAAAAAAGTATCTGTTAGATGAAATCGTTGAAAAATTGCATTGATCGAATATATAAAATAAGCACTTCACTGACAGAACATCCGTCATCGATAAAGAAAAAAAAACACCGGAAGCCATATGGTGCGCATCACCACGCTTCTTTCATAGGACCAACGTTAAAGCACTAAGGAAAATGTGATAGAAAAACAGATTAATTCTTTTTGTGTTTCTCTCACTATGTTTCTATTAATAATTGACCTTGGCGTTTCTTTTTATTTTATTTTCATGACGCCTACTTTATAACAAAGGATTGAGAAGATGATAGGCATAATTATTAAATCTATACAATTAATGTTCTTTCATAATTATTTTTAATTTCGCAGAAAATTTTATTTTTTGTTGAACCCTTCTCATATTACTGTAGATAATAATTTCACTATAATGATCTCCTATCCATAAAAGAAATTTATAAATATAAACGAAGTAACTACGAGTCCGACTAAACGAGAAATTTTAATGCTTTGATTTTTGTTAAAATGATTTTGTATTATTAATAATTGTAGAGAATGTCTTCGAATATTTGATAATGAAAAATGTTCATCATATAACAAGTTGTTGCAATGAAAACAATTTTCGATGTATTTTGTTTTTTGAAACATTTTATTCAATATTTAATTTTATTAATTATTTTTTAATAGATTCTTATCAATGGTTTAGTTAAGAATTTAACTAATTCAAAATATCGAATAGTTATGATTAATGTATGTTTATTTGGAACATGTTCTCTTTGGCCATTTGTTTTAGTTTTTCATATAACTGAACTTGAACCAATGTTTATTCATAATTTCGATTCATCAATTATCATAATAACATTAATTTGTGCACTTCGTAAGAAAGATTCATTGTAAAGAGGAAAACAAAACTCAAAATTTATTTTTTTGTTTATTCTGTCAAGTATTTAATACGTTAACAATAACAATTCCATTTCAATATACATCATTTGCAAATGCTGCTTCTTTTATAGTTGCTATTCCTTGTATAACATGTGAGTTTTTTTCTTTTCGAATAATTTATTTAATTTCAGTAATTTTAGTAATTGATCGTTATCTGTTAAATATAAAATATTCTGCATTATTTATATTGGCTATACTATGTTCATTATCAAGTATTCTTCTTTCAATGATACCAAAAACATGTTTTCAAGCAGGTGAAGCACGTAAAATGAAGCAAGCATTGGGTTTAATTAATAAAGATTTAAATATAAGTGCTGCTGCTGCTCCTGCTGCTGGCGGTTTATTATCTACTGGTGGAACAACGAATGGAACATCTTCAACATTTGAAGAAATAAAAACTCAACGAAGAATTCGAAATGCTCTTTTATATAATGAACTCAAAACATAATTTTGTTGTATTTACGAATATTTTCATTAAAATAATCTCGCTTATTCTTATTTCGAATACCGAATTTCAATTTACATCTAAATATTGTATTTTTATTTTGTCTGGCTTTCACAAATGGAATTTTATAAAAAAAAAAAAATTTTCATATCTGTGAATTATTTTTCTGTTTCAAATAAATAGTTATGTTAGAATTTTTAAGCAAAGGATTTACGAATTGAACAAAAAAAAATAACATCTATCTATCATTTGTGAAAAATTAGTTAATCGTATTGTAGATCATCTATTTAGAGTTTAAAAAAAGACTAAATTAATATTTTTATTATTAATTACAATAATTCAAAAAAAAATAATTGATACAATATTTGATTTTGATGGAATCACATAATCGACATATTCTTTTTCACTAAGCAAAACCAGGCGCCGATGTTCATCAAAATAATTCCAATCAAATTATGCTAAACCAATTCTATAACGTTGAATTGAACCTAAAATGCAATATTTTTTAAACTTTTTAATAAAACTTCATTGATAATTTTACATTGAAGAATTCGATGAACAAAAGTATCATTATTATGATTGTTATTTGTTAAAAACAAATTAATTTTTTATTCAGATATTTATTATTCTGAAATAATATTTAATTACCTACAAGAAATATCTTCGATAATTTTCATGATATTAGATGTTATAATCACATATTTTAACTAAAATCCTGAAAGTTATTTAGGAGTAAATGGAAATGCACCTGAGCAATTGTTTTTGTTCTCGTTTTTAGCTATACATGAATGTTTTCATTCATAATTTTAAATATTTCGGCAAGACAATTATAAAGAACATGACAAATGGAAAGAAATAGTTATAGTATGGAATGAAACGTGATTGGTGTAAATACGCAAGGATAAACTACATACACTTTTGTGTATCTTAATCAATATGGCATTTACATTGAAGAATTCTTATTTCTTCATTAATATTTATACACAATATATTCTTTCAATGTTACGAAGATCTGTTTAGAAGGGAATTTAATTTACACTTTAACTGATTATAAAAATTTCAACTTTGATGAATCGTTTTTTCCTTTTTAGATAATATTCCTCGATTAGTTTTTTTGGATTCTGTTGATGCCTTCTAGATTTCCAAATGGCCTCCGACGATATGAAAAAAGTCAAATTTGTTTATCAATCCGAAGAAAAAATATTTTATGTTCGTGAATTTATTCCACTTGATCAGTTTCTTATTCAGGCTAAAACTCACTTTAATATTGCACCTGATGTCAATATGGGCGTGATGGATATCGAGAAAAATATTTTTTTGTCCTGTCGTAACTGGTGACTTCTGGTATGATCGAATACGAGAGATGCCGGTTTACAAAATTATTATTCGGAAATGTAAAGAAATACATTTTATTTATTACTTATATATTTTAATTATTGCATACTTTTCATTTCCAATTAAGAGAATAATAATAATATGTTTATTTTGAGTGGAGTATCACAATATGCGTCATGCAAAACATTTTTTGGGATTAAAACTATTTATGAAAAATATCATTTACTTTAATATACTAATGACGATTCTTTTTTTTAGGTGACCAAAATGATGCAGAAAAACATGGGTGGTGTCGGCGCTTGTATGAAAACTATATTATTCCATTTCTTAGTAAGTAATTAACATAGACAAAAACTAATAATAGTAAAGATTGATCCATTTTAATAATCGTATTGTTGAAATACGCTCAACAAGATTTCTAAATTGATCTGCGATGACTGACATTTGATCTATAGAAGTTTCTTTTTTTTGTTGAAGAGACCGAAAATTAAAATAATTGAGAAAAGATTTAAATTGAAGTTACAGTTCATTCTGACTTTCAAATAAAATCTTTTTTTGATATGGCAGAGAAGTATGAATGACAAAGTATAATCAACGCCAATTGAACTATCATATTTTTAGTAGTAATCCATTCATTTTTATCGAAAAAGTGTAAAAATAAGTGATCTTGTAAGATGTTGATATCGTATCAGAAAGAGAAATTACTTTTGAATAATCAGAACAATATATGTACTTCATTCATTAGTTAAAAGTATTGATTTTAATCTATTTACATTTAAAAACAATTTCATGTTACTTGAGTTCATATCCAATGTGATTATTACAGATATGTAAGTTGATCACATAACATGTCCTCTGCTGTACCAAATATTCTGAACAAAGGAATTAGTACTTTTCAAAATTTAAGAGCGACACTGGATACTACAACTGTATCACACTTTTGAAGTCTTTAAATTCTTCAACATAATAGTGTAAGATTTATTTATTTCTGGAAGGATTCGTAAAATTTCGTGGAAAAACAAAGCCTACCATGTTTAACTCTTTTCAATCGCACGCATTCAAAAAGAAAGATTTTTCTCTATGGAGGTATAGTGTTTTTCGAATAGCCGCCTGGAAGAGAAACTAGCACAGGACAAGATTTTCTGTCCTACACTGCCTTGTCTTGCTAGCTATCTTGGCGCTGGAGTGCAGCAGGACAGGACACCAGGACCATCCTGTCCTGTTCTCATCTCTGGTTTGGAAAGGATTAATAGAATCTCATTGGTCATCGAAATATTTCATGAAAATTCTGCATCTCTGTAACATTACTTTTGTTTCCTGATATGAAACAGATAGATTCTTCTTATTCGAATGTCTTTATGCATGGAATTTGACAAAACACTAAATTTGATGTAGTTGCTCGAATAATTGAGACTCATAGGATGAAGGAAATAATTACAGTGAACATAAGGACTTTTTCAAAGGAGCCGTAGCTTTTTTTTAAATTAATTAAAATGTGTTTAATGTTGTCAAAAGACAAAGCGAAAGAATTTGTTAGTCGAATAGAATACGTCCATATCGACCCTACTCACTTTTCGGTGTAACTATTCTNAACTGTAAATATATATCCATATACAGTAAATGATATTATTTTTCTTCGTTCTATAGAAAATAAACTTATTTAATTAGTCTACTTAGATGTGTTAATTAATTTATATTTTATGTTCTTTCTTGAAAAAAATGAATAATTCTTATGTATATCTTCATAAATTATATTTATTCAACATATTTCTATAGAAGATCGACAGACTATTCTCATTCTAAAATGACAGTCTGAAAACAACAATACTATGTAATAGTGAATACCATATTTTGTAAACCCAATTTGAGTCGAATCGAATCGAATCGAATTGATTTTTTTCGTGTTTTTAGCCGAATCGGATCGAATTACAATTTTAAAAAGACCAGAAAATCCGAATCGAATCGAATAGCACTTTTGTCATCGGTTTCGGTCTCTGATCAATACTGCACTTTTGATTTGATTTACTTTTATTTGCTGCATTCTAGGAAGAGGAAACCTGCTGGACGCGAAGAAAATGAATTAGCTGGTAAACTACTGCTTTTTGAAATTTAAAGGAAGCTCCTAGCTCAGCAATATATTCATTGATCATTAGGTCGAATTTGTTTGTCTATGTATCTTTATAATTGTTTCTGTTCAGTTGATTGATATTGCTTTTTTTTCGTCAACGAATTATTTATCTTGGCTTTTGTTCTCTGTGGCCTCTTTTTATTCTTATCACTATTATCAAATAGTGAACTGGATTTTTCGTTGTAAATAAATAGAGTCATGATTTGGTCATTGGATGTATTGCCTCAAATATTGTTATCCATTCCTATGGATATATGTGAAGCAAAAATGTTCTTCTATACAATTCACTTGTTGTAATGAAATGATCAAGTATCGAGGAACATCATCGATGAAAAATAAAATAAAATGTAATGTTGTATTTGACAAGAGCAAATTGTGAGAGCAACCTAGCAAATTGAGAATTCCTAGTTTTGAATTTAAATTCACCAAATTGTTTGTGGTGTTGCAGTCAACTTCAACACTTCAAAAAATCGCTTCAAATCCATTGATATCGATGAAATTTCATAAAGAGTACTAACCAATCATTAATCTCACGATAACAATCATATATAATGTGGATTTTATTGACTGTATCGGATTTTTCGTTTAAGCCCCACACATATCATCTGGATCATCATGAAATCCTCCGGATTCCCATGAGATCACAAATCCAGGGAATTCGTTTTTTCTCTCTTGGTATTTAGTGACTAGTGCCCGATAAGTGATGAGCATCAAAAACCTAACACCTTCTGATACATTCTATCATGACCAGTATGAGAGTTAAAAGTATTTTTGAAAAGGTTGATAGTTGATCAAAATGGGTAAAAGTTAAAATGGCTACAAATCCAGTTATAACAAAGGTATATTTTTGAAGGTTGACCTTGTAAATTTTGTATTTAGAATACAAGAGGAGAAAAAAATTATTTCGCTCAAATGCAGAAATTCATAAAATGAAGCTGTTATCAAATCTACGAATATTCTTAAGTCGTATGGAGAAGCGTTTATTACCTTTTTTTCTGTTATTCTAGAAGTCTTCATGTTGAACACACTACACTGAAGATATTTTGAGAGATGATAACTGAATAAAATCCTATGGATACTCCCAATGAGTGAAAGTGTACATGTGTATAAGTAGTATGCAGATCAACATTTGTATTATCGGTGAGCTAAACATAGAAAAAAATTTTAAAGCACAAAAGCTAATTATATGTAAAATTTTAGTTTTCTTCATTTCCAAATTGACATGAAAGTAGGTAAACTGTCCCTTTACTGAAAAAAAGCTTAGTTAACATTGATTAAGTTTATTTTACTTTTGTACTCTTATTTTAGATGCATATTTTTCAATCTTTTTTATCTCATTATTCGTGTATGTGAAATGTATTGCCTTTCCTAATTTAGTTTATAAATCAGTTATTGTGCTATATGGTCGATATCGTACTACTAATAAACACGAAAGCGTGATCGAATAAAAGAAATGTCCTAATTTACGATTATTCTATCGATTATTGTTTTTTCTAGTAATGCTAATTGGAAAGGACGAAAGAGAGAGCTCAAAACGTAATGATGACTATACAATTTCTCTTTTCTCGATGAGAATATGACTGATCTAACGACTGGTGTCTTCTTTTTTTTCTTATCTTAATTTCATATCATAATGCTAATCGTTCGAACTATATATTGAATTTTTTAAAATTTAAAATTTGGCCAAAATTTTTTTTCTTAAACTCAAATTTTTATTGATTGAAAATGTTGCAAATGAAAAGAACAATGTAGAAAAATAAACTTATAAATACATCCATCAAGCGATTTTTCAGAAATATCGATATGACTTGAATATATTCAATTATAAAAACCTTAGGTTACAGCTAAAGTTGATAGTTATAACTACGGTTGATAGATATAACAACAGTTGACAGTTATAACTCAAAAGTTATAACTCGACTAGTTTTAACTCCCACATTGATCATTACTCAATATACACCACGGTTTCCAATACAAAAGCTGCAGCATATAATACCGTGGTCTGAATTATGTTCAATATGGCTTGATTCAAATTGTTTTCGTACAATAGGCCAAATTCTTAAAAGTAGTCACTCTTGTAAATATATTAATTGGTGAATTTTCATAACGGTTAGAAATATCAAATAAGCAATGCTTTATTTAGACAATGATAAGTCGAATGTCACCTGGCGCATAAAAATAAAACGAGAATTTGAGTGGATACCGTATTTAATTAAAATTAATTGAAATTTAGAAAAAGCAAATTCAAGTTCACTACAGTTTGTGAAACTCGCATTTCACTGAGGTGCAGAAACCGCAGTACTTCTAAAAGTATTTACCTTTAACACGTGTAAATCATTTTTTCTTATGCGTGCATTCAACTAAGGAGGAACAAACCGACATCTTGATTTCCTTGATTCCTTTCATTTCAAGTGACTTTTGATGATTCGTTTCATTTCTGACGATTTCTATTACTTGAAATCAGTTTTTCAGCGTTCATCGTGAATTAATAGGAATCACCATAAATGCTTAGAAATGAAGGTAAACCACAAGCAATCAAGAGCAACTGCTAGGAATATTAGCAGTTATTCGAAATCAAGAAAACAAGCATTAGAAATTAATAGAAAGCAGGGTTCTATTTTTAATTGTATTAGTGAATATTTTCCAAGGGGCAACAGCTAAAATCAGATCTTTTTGCTTTTTTTCTTGATTTTTCTAAACAAAAACAAACTGATTTTAAAAGAAGAAAATCAGAAAAATCGAAAAACATTAAAGAAAGCAGAAAAATTCAAAGAATCAGAAAAATCAAGTTTCAACTGTTTCACTCTAGATTGATATTTCCAAGCAAAAAGATTAAAAATTTTACCATTTTGATTTATTTTTTTATTTTTCTGATATTTTTTATTCTTTTTATTTTCGTTTTTGATTTAAAATTTTAAAAAATCATCCTTTCCCCTTGAAATTTTCAATAATTAAGAGTAATTCCTGTTGATTTCTAATTATTTTGCATAGTTTCTAACATGGTTTTCCATGGGTTCCGATAGATTTTTTAATCATCCCTAGTCACTATTCGTATCCTTAAGGCTTCAAATTGATTTCTAGTGATTTCCAGTAATTTCTAGCATAGAAATCAGTTTGTTCCCCCTAGATTACAGCCGAAGTTGAAAATTTGTACTGAATCTAAAGTAACACCATTTCTTTTATTTGAAATCATCGATTTTATGAAAAATATAACATCATATTTTAAGGATATGTCGCCTCTAGAATTTATATCAAATTTCTGAAGAAAAATTCTTAGAAAAACAATTGAATTTTTTTTATAGTTCCGTTTGTCTATAGTCTTTTCACTTATTTTTTCTTTGTAGTACAAGTACGTGAATTTAGCATCAATGTTCTTGCCGGTGTGGTGGCGACAACGGTTTTCTTTCAAGATAATATCGTATTAATGAAAAGAATCTGGTTTAACTTGACTTTGATTGTCGCCTTAAAAATGCTGGCGAATGTGATGATCCGTCGTCGCATTAAAAACGAATGTATAAAATTCTTGAATGATCCAAGACCAGCCCCTCCAATGCCAACCTGTACTAGACGTTCATAAATTTTGGTCTACTTATTTTTCTGTCTTTTTTCTTGTTATTTTTTATATATTGAACTGTTCAGATGCAAAAAACAATCTCCTAGTTTCAAGCATGAAATCAAAACAAACTGTTTCTACACTAATTATTATAGCATAAGAAAATTTTCATAAACAATTGACATTTATTTATATGCTTAAATTAGAAACGAAAAACACATAAAACGGAAGACTTCTATTGACATCGATTAACACAGAATAAAACTAAGCATTGCAGATTGACATATGACTACAACCCAGGTCGTGGACGTACGGCGGGAAACGGCCGGAAAGCACAGGAAAGCGCTGGAAAGTGGAAGCAGTATTCCAGTTGGAAGTTACCGGATTTTCTTCCTGTAGATTCCGATCAACTTCCAGATGTAAAACACAGAAAACTGACCGGAATCCACAGGAAAAAATCCGGTAACTTCCAACTGGAATACTGCTTCCAGTTTCCAGCGCTTTCCCGTGCTTTCCGGCCAGATACGGTGATTTTTCCGCATCTTTCCGGCCGGTTCCTACAGTATCCGTCCTCCGGAATCATTGACCTGGGAAATAATTTAAATAAACTTGGTTGTTCGACATTTTTGGAACCCATATTTACATCACCAATATTTATCTGTTTTGTTGAAATTTTAATATCGCCATCTGAAAAACATGATGAAGAATTATGAATATCATTAATTTCAAAACGATGTGATAAACAAAATTCACGTTCATTTACATATAATTCACCAACAGGTGTAGTTGCCATTAATGTTGTTGCACATGCTTTATACATTCGACCTGGGTATAGGTAGCAGAACCTTTCAAGAATCTTTCAAGAATCTTCTGATACGACTTAGTGTAAGAAATCAGAGACGACAATTTTATGTACGATTTTGTCTGATCTTATCAGATCAGATATGATTACACGTACGATTATTGTAAGATCTTGCCGTCTGTTTTCTCGCCCTGCACTAGTCGACGATCTTGACTTCGATCTGTCCAGATTCTTGTTTTCCTTGAATATCAGACAAGATTCTTTGTAATCATAATATTCAGACAAGATTCTTCGAGGCAGGAAAGAAACAAGATTCTTGTCTGTTATTCAAGAAAAACACAATCTTGTCTGATTGATCAGATAAATAAGAATCAGGCAAGAATGGCAAGATATTCAAGATTTTTTTAAATTCAGGCAAGAATCTTGTTTCTTTCCTTTCTCAAAGAATCTTGCCTGTTATTCAAGAAAAACACAATCTTGTCTGATTGATCGGATAAATAAGAATCACGCAAGAATTACAAGATATTTCAAATTTCTTGAAATTCAGACAAGCTTCTTTTTTCTTTTCTTTTCAACATATCTTAAAGAAAAATATCACGTGATGTCTGTGTATATATAGTTATAAATATACAGAAATTTGAACATTATATATTTTTTTCTAGATGACGCGCTGACGAACTATAACACATGTATTTTTTGAATAAATTCTTTTGTTCAATCGTTTTTCTTTTATTTTTTTTCTTCTTGATTTGTTTTACGCGATATGAATTTTTGTATGTTTCCTTGCACATATAATGTACTTTTTTTGTATTTTTTTTTAATTCGAAATTAAAATATAATAGGACCGAAAGGAGGCAACCGTATGGATGCCTAAATAAAATTTATCTGTATTACAAGGATTTTCTCAAAATAGCAAGAATTGTAAGAAAACAAGAATCTTGCCAAAATGGCAAGAAACAAGAATCATGCCAGAAAAGCAAGAAACAAGAATCATGTAAGAATTGCAAGAACACAAGAATCAGGCAAGAATACAAGAACACAAGAATCTTGCCTGGCGGGACATTTCTTGCCTCGCCAGCCAAGATTGTGTCTACACGAATCTTGCCAGAAAGTCAAGATCTGTTTTTTCAGACAAGAATCTTGTACAGAAGGAATGGCAAAAGAATCTTGTCTGATATTCAAGAAAAACAAGAACCTGGACAGATCGAAGTCAAGATCGTCGACTAGTGTGGATTTTAATCCTAGATAAAAAAAATTATATGACTTTAAATCTTTTCATAATTATGATAATTGAAAATTTGTAAATTCAACATTGACAAGAGAAATAATATTCAAATGTGTTGAGATCATTTAAAATCATAAGATTGACTTGGTGTGTCTAAATATTCTATCATCAGTAAAATATTGATATTTACATTCCAGATTTCTTTTATAAAAATTGATTGAATGCTGATTTTTGATTATACTCAGAGTTAATCGTGCTAGAATTGAGTCAACATATTAAACCAAAGAATTGAAATAAAGACACTATTTGTGATTACTTAATAATAGCAATTATTGGATCTGCCATCGTAAAAATGTGTTAATTTCAGAGATAGAATAACATATGTATCACAATAACTCGATTTTATAGAATTTCATTATTCCATCGAAAATATTTATAAAAAGAAAAAGAAATGAGTGACTATTATAGAAACTAACACTTTCTTTTATTGTTATCAAAAGTAAGGAACACAAAAACTAATGTTCAACAGAAGATGCCATCAATTAATGTACATCGACATAAACATTTGGCGATAGGACACTGTTTATTCATTGCAAACCAATTTGAAACATGTTCAGCATGACCACCATGGCGACATAGACGACACCATGTAAACCATTGACTTGACATTAATGTATGTTTTTCTAATGAAATAGTTTAAAATAGAAATCAATGAAATGAAAAATCAATGTTAGAAGTTTCGAAACAGATGAGTTAATTTCGAGTTAAAGCATTCGTCGACGTTTTAAGTCAACTCAAAGCAGCTCTAGTTACTTTAAAAAAAGTTCAGACCTTTAGTTAAAAAGTGCCTACATACGGTCTGTTCTTGATATATATGTCAACTAGATATCATTTTTTTCCTCCGAAACAATAAAAAATGACAACTACAAATTTCAAGTTGAAAATTATTGCGAAGACAGGTCTCAACAAGTTCAGATCTTCTCATGGATTTATTCTTGGAAAAAAGATACTATGAAATCTGCTGACCCAAATGACTAACATAAAAATAAAGTATTGATACAACGAAATTACTGAACTTTTTTCAAGTAATGCATAACTAATTCGTATCTATCCACCAATGAATAGTGATTCATAATTTAAAGAACTTTATTTATTTTTTAGTTATACTAACCGATTAATGGGTCATATGCATATGATGCATCTTCAATGTATGTTGTTAAACTCATCATACATATTGAACAGCGGGGTAATACTTGTCGACATTTGGCACATACCATCAACTAAACAAGTTAAAATTTATTTAAAATAAAATTTACTATAATTTATATAACCATATCCGAGTTCGGTGTTGGATAGGCCGATGATGATGATGCAGATGATCGACTTGTAATTGTTTGTTGTGATCCTCGGTTCTGCACTTTCATTGGAGTTGTCGGAATCGGTGTTGTATTTGTATTTCCTGCTAAGCCCATCATTGTTGGCGTTTGATTAGACATAGCTTGATGAGCTTCAAGTGGTGTTTGACAAAAAATACACGAAAAATGTTGATTTGCATTTGCTGAACGATCAAAATAATGTCGACGATATGGCGTTGTACCTGTGACATGACTTCGATAAATGTCGAATTCAGCACGTTCATTCCACATTTGAAGTTCATCAAGAAGAAATCGAAATCTATCAAAAAATCAAATCAAATCATTGTTTAACTAAAATAAAAAAATAATTAACCCTTCAATCCATTCTTGAACATAAGGACATTCTTGGTAAACATCTTCTTGAACATATATGCCAAGTAATGCCGCTGTTCGAATATCACTTGTTTGATCAAGATATTTCTGTATTAATTCACACCCATTTTGTCTTAATCCTAGAATTTGAAATAATTTTATTTTAGTCTTTAGATAAAAACTATTTTTGCTTAATATTCAGTCAGATTTACACGGAATTAATATTCTTCGCGTTGCGAAGTTGTTCAAACTATTCTAATGTTAATATAAATAGAAAATCGACGAAAGAAACATTTCTCAATTTAATTTATTAGATTTGACTGTCTCATGTTTTTGGAGATATTTTTTATTTTTAATAAATAAATAAATCAAACAAACCAGTAAGAAGAATTCCTTGAAGATCGCCTTTTTCTCGACTTTCTTCAGCTAATTTATCTAATTTATCATAAAGACGTTGTTCATTTAAATATCGAGCAGCAAATGCAACTTTATCATTAAGATCTAATTGTTCATCCTAGAGAATAAATATTTGAAAATAAAATAAGCAACAAAAGACAATTGATTACAAGAACACATTCATATTGAAGATCTTCTCCATCTTGTGTAAGAATAAATCCAAACATAGCTCGTACATAGGGTCGATGAAATAATTTTGTTACCGATGAAAATTCATTAATTAATGCTTTATCATCATTGTTTGTTGATGTTGCTCGAATAGAACCAACTAATGCAAGAATTAATGTTGCTAATTCTTCTTTTCCACCTTTTAATATTTGTGTTAAATTTAGTTAAGAAAAAAGAATGAAAAACTTTAAAATACAAACCTCTTTGTAGACCTTCATTAAGTATTTCTAACGCTCGATTAACATTCATTTGAAATATATAAAGTGCAGCTACTTTTTCATATTCATCTTGTTCTAATAGTAATGACATACGATCATACCCAACTGATTTAGAATCGACATTTGACCATCCACATAATTGAGCAACGGTTTGTCTATGAAAAGAGAAATTCAAATTTATTGTGATTTTTAAGAACATATATGGTACTTATTGTCTAATACGAACAACAATCTTAAAGTAGAATAAGTGTAAGAAATTCATCTATTCGCACTATTCTATATCAATATACAAGAAATTGGATTAATGAAATCAGTTTTTAGAAAAACAAAATCTATTAGATAAAATTATTAGTAGACTTTGGAAGAATCATAGAATCTATCACTAGTCATTTACTTTTACTAGCTTTGGCGAATAAAATTTGCGGTTCAACAAACTGTTATTATTCATTAGAATGATAACATTCACTCTTGGAATGATTTTATCAGTGAAAACAAGCTTGAAGATTTTTTACTTTGAAGAAAAACGATTTTCTAGATTTGATGAAAAGAATCTTTTTAATGAATTGTATTAAAATAAAAACATTGCAAAAAATATTTTATGAATATTTTTCGAATAGATAAATTATATATATTTACCTTTCGGATGATTCAAAAACAGTTTTAGTTGATGTTGAATGGCCCATAGATGGCCATGATTGCTTTATTGGTGCACTTGGTGATGATGATTGAGCTTCTGACAAAAAACAGAAAAGAAAACATTCAAAAACAAAAAGGACGATGGTTTGTTTAACCTCTAAGCGCTTCCAGCACTCCAATAAATGGAGATGGATCTCGATTAATATTTGTACCTAAATAGTAGATAAAAATAGGTTTTGAACATTATCAAAAACAAAAATTCTTCAAACTACTTTTAATCCATCTTTGTATTTGTTCAATAGTTGATCGTATTTCTTTTGACATGGTTTTTAAATCCATTTGAATTAACTAAATTATATTGAGAAAGAAACAGAGAAAAGAGCAATCAGATATAAATATTTATTTTTAATTACTTCTGTATTTTGTGTTGATTGCGATGAAACAATAGTTCTTCGATCATTTTGTACATTTGACAAATCATATGTAAAAAGAACTTTGGAATATATTTGATTTTGATCTTGATTGATTATAGATGGATGAATCTCGTGATCATTTGCCCATAAAAGACCATTTTGTGGGGAATAGCACTAAATTAATATTTTTAATATTAATTCAAATAAAAATAATTGATACAATATTTGATTTTGATGGAATAACATAATCGAAATATTCTTTTCCACTAAGTAAAACAAGACGATGTTCATCAAAATAATTCCAATCAAATGATGCTAAACCAATTCTATAACGTTGAATTGGACCTAAAATGCAATATTTTTTTAATCTATTAATAAAATTTCATTGATAATTTTACATTGAAGAATTCGATGAACAAAAGTATCATTATCATGCTTGTTATTTTTTGATACAGACAAAACAAGAAATTTCGGAGAATCTCGAATACAATAACCAAGTTGAGATGATCTAAATTATTACTTATTTTTATTAAAAACAAATAAAATAATTAAAATGATGATAAACCCAGTTCGACTCCATGCAAGTTTAACAATTGGCTCATGTTCTTCACGAACAATAACTGGTTTCTCATGCGCACGACTATCATAAACATAAATTGTTTTCTAAAATAAATTTCTTCTTTTTGTTTTCATTTTTTGAAGAATAAAATTAAAAACTAAAACATACATCAATACTAGCGGCTAAATATCGTTCATTTGTATCACAACACAAATTAAACGGAGCTTTTGTTGAAAATGAAAGTACGGCAGGTTGTGAAGCTACATATAGTAAAATATTTTAATTAAAAAAATAAAATTTATTTAATATATCAAAGATGCTGAATATGAATTCATTTAAAAATTTGTTTCTTAACGATGAAAATCGATGCATGTATAAATCAAAAATTTGCTGAAAAAGGAATTACATAAGACTATTATCAACAAATTTTATGTTCAAAGCTACTAATTTTATTTTTTTATTTAAGTATCTATTTCTCAGACACAACACCAACTCATGACTTTCCTTTCACTAGAGGGAATATCTTTATTCATGCAAGATCAAGACTAAAACTAGAATTTTTATTTTATTTTTAGATTTAAAATCAATCAAAAGAAGTGTTTGTACCGTATGGAAATTAAATAAAACAAAAAACTAAACTTTTATTAAATATAATTTTACTCTGATAAATAAGCATTTTGAAAATATTCAGAGAAAAGCTGTTTAAAGTTTATCAAACTTTACTGAGTCTGTAGTGTGTTCAAAATTTTATTATTTCTGTTTTTCATCTTTTAATTGCAAAAACAAAAAAAGCAAAAATGATTATTTACTTTCATACTCTAGTCTAATCAAGTAAATATTCAACTATTTAATTGATTTTCAGTTAAGAAAATGTTTGCCATAGAAGTCTTTTTTTATCTCGAAATGGAGAAACTATGTTGTTTTTAATTTGTCTCTAGCTCATTCAATTCTCGATAATAAACATAAATTCGAATAGAAAAACGAGTTATTGGTTGAAACTGTTGTCTTTTAAGTTGATATCTATCTAAGAGTGAATCCTTTGTTACATCCTCAATTAGAATTATTGTTTTTTTGAAAAGAAGAAAAAAAAGTCACTGAAAAAACTAACCACGTGGATCATAAATTTTAATATTTCTGGTATTATGTTGTGTTGTACATGCAGCAAAACAACGTTCATTTGGTTTAAACCATGATAATGAATGACATTGTTCACTCATTCCATAATCAAATATTGGTTTCCAAACTTGTTGATTATGCATTAATATATCGACTCGTTTATACTCGTCAAGATTTGATGATGACGACGATGCTATTCCTCCTATTTGATGTGATGATGGTGATGGTACACCATTATGATTTATATCCCAAATTGTTAAACAATTATCTGAACGATATCTATCAAAACCTGATAGAAGCTATAAACACATAAGAAACAAAACAATTTTTAATTAAGATTCTTTTTTTTAATTACTAAATTTGGAATTTTTGGATTCCAACAAAGTGCAACACATGATCGACCTTGTTTAGAATCAATTACTTAAAAGAAAAGAAAACAATTTTTTCCCAAATAATAATAATCATAATTAAACCTATTCTTCCTTGACTCAATGGATCTGATCGATCTTTAACGCTAGAAAAGAGAAAAGCGGAATCTAAAAAAATTGATTTAATAGTAAACTAACTTTTCAAACATAATCCTTCCATTGGGTTGTCCAATAGCAAAAACATACGGATATTCTTGTGATGGCCACCATGCGCAACACTAAAATTTGATTTGATTTAAACTTTATAGGAAAGAAAATGAACTGATACTTTGATATTATTTTTTTCATGTAATGGATAATTAAGACTTGTCGTTTTTTTATTTGTTCCTCCTGACACACATTTTCCACTTTCACCACTTAATGGTCGATCAAATGTATGAATTATTATTTCAGCTCCAATTTCTGCCAATTGATTGCGATCATTTGGTGACCAGTGAATTTCGGTTTTTTGCATCTAAAGTAACGAAAACCAAAAATTCAAACTGAATCAATCAATATTTTGATTCAAAACAAAACAACAAAAGATGAAAATAATTTATCTAAGAAGATTGAGAGTGATTTTGTTTAGTATGAAAATCGTAAAGACGTTGTTGATTTTCCAGCGAGATCCCGTAATTAAATTGAGGGATCGATGGAGAAAGACGAGTAGAAACCATTTTATCATAACTTTTCGATTGTTCAGTGTCAAAATGATTTAACCAATCACCTATTTCACCTGAAAAAAAAGAAGATCTAGAATTGTTTAAGAGCTTTTCAATAAAAGTCAATTTGTGAATTGGTTCTATTCGATAGATATTTAATAATATAGAAAGAGAAGCTATCTTTTGATTTTAATTAGAAGAAAAAAAATCATCTTCAAATTCTATGATGATCTCATAATAATAAAGAAATGACAAATCTTCTGATGAATATTCTATTTAATTATTTTCAATGATATTATCATTCATAAAAATATTGTTATTTGATTTATTTTAAGAGAAATTTTTATTTAGAAAAACAAGTTTTGTGCTTAAAACTATTAGAGATGAATTAAAAGGGCTAATGACAAATTTTTCAATTTTTGACAAGATTGATTGAATTACAACTATTCATCAAAGAAATTATTAATAGCATTTGATAAATTTGATGTACTTTAATTTCAAGTTAATATAATGATATCTTACATTACTCTAGTATTATAAAATGATCTTTATTTTCATTTATTTCGATCACACGAGTGATGTAGTTACAATTAGTGAAACATCGTACATAATAGATATTCTTTATTTTATTTTAGTTATTGAACATTTGAAAATATTTAAAAGAATAAAGTGCTTGAATAAAGAAAGCGAAATATCTGAATGAAGTTCTTAACTATGTGATGATAACGACAGAGAATAAATTTAAAGACCAATGTTGATCAAAGTATATATTAAATATAGACTGTTATTTTCTGATTGAAACAAGAATCTAAACTGATGAAAACTAGCAAAATGAGCATTTTATCAGTGTTTTCTGTTAAAAAATATCTCTTAGTATAATTTCTGTCAGATTCAATTCTGAATAGAAGATACAAATTTTGACAATAATCATAGGAATACCATTTTATTCTATATCCATTTCAAAGGCATGCATTTCCTCAATATAATTTTATTTAATTCTCTCCAAATCGCATAAGAAACTAGTTTGCATAGTACAACGAGATTCTATACTTTGAAAATATCTATCGATATTTTAGATGTCGAAAAAACGTTGTTAAATGTGCGTTTTATGTCTATGAAGAATGATTTACAACTTTAACTTGTATACTTCAATAGTAAATACAGTCTTGCTAATAGATTCTGAGTTAAAAGTCGCTATTTTCAATGTGATCGAGTATGATAAATCTCAATGCTTATAAGTGCGTTTTATTTTTTCGGAAGCGTCTTTTCATATATGATGATCATATTTTGAAATGATATTCATATGAAATAAATATAGACAATAGTTTACCTTTTCTTAAAAATGAAAATGATTTATTAACAAAACCCCATTCTCGAAACCAATTGTAATTAACTTTAGGATTTTTTTTCATCGAATCAAATGAACACCATTTTTCAAGTTTATCTAATTGTTCTTCTGTTAATTCTTTTTCTTTTCCTAAATAGGCTGCCAAACGGCGAACAGTTGGACGAAAATTCTATGACAAAAGCAAAACGATGAATAAGATGTTTTTTTTGAAAATAATTAGAAACTAAAAATTGAACATACAGTTAAAAGATCTTCATAAGCAACACAAAATATAGAATCATTAAGAGAATGATAATCATTAAGATGCCGCCACCAAGGTGCATAATAAACTAAAATATTAAAATGATTGGAATTAAAATAAAAAGTTGATCAAACCTTCATCAATAAGAAAAGATTGAACAAATTGATTCCATGGACCAGAATAAGTCAATTCAATATTTATTGAACGAAGAAAATGAAATAATGACACAGTTACATCTTTTGGATTTCGATAAACATAAATAACCTCAAACACAAAAACAAAAATATAAATTTTAATTCGAAAAATAGAATTGAACTTGTTTTTGATTTACTTTAGCTTGTTTAAAAGTTGCATTAAAAAATTCAGGTGGTAAATGTGTTTTAAAAAATCTTGATTTATTTGTTTGATTTGATGATAATTGTTGAAGATTAACAGTTGGCCATTCCATAAATGAGTATCTGTCGGAAATATCTTTTTCTTTTGCTGATTCATAATCGAAATTCGTTTGAATCAAATAAACAATTTCTTGTATCAATGTTGTCCCTGATTTTGGAAATGATGCACAAATGCAATCAGATTGATTAAATTGAAAGTTTTTTACTTGATTTAATTTTCCCACAATTTGTTCAGGTAATAGATAATTTCCAATCACAGCACCTTTATGTTTAAAATATTTTAAATCCATCCAAATTGGTTTTAATTCATCATCAATTTGTTTTCCAGATTTTATTTGTTTTTGACGACGTTTATACCAAACAGAAGTAGCTATAATAGCCATTAAACCCATTGTTATATTAACAACACGGAATGCACTTTTCAATTGTAATATTGGTTTGAATTTGATTTGTTGTTCAGTTGTTAAATTACTTAAATCAATTCCACGTTGTTGTGCAGCTTGTTTTGCTTTACGAGCATATTGAAAATGATCAAATAAACTTTTGAAAACATTTCGTTTTGACGATGAAAGAGAAAATCGACGTTGAATTAAAATATTTGAAGAATATCGAACAGAAAATAAAACAAACTGTATTATCATCTAAAAAATTATTTTAACTTTTCATCGATATGATTTAAATTAAGAAAACAATCATATTTTTATTTTTCAACTATTAACAGTATCACCATTGTTTATTTGTTCTAAATGATAAACAGTGAAACGATGATTTGTCTTTTTTAATGTATGCAATTTATATTTCGAGCCAAGTGCTCCTACGTGTACATGCTTATTTACATAATAAACCGTGGATACTCTAGAATGAAGTAATGCCATAGCACACATAATACAAGGCTCATGTGTTAAATAAATTGAACAACCATTTAAGAGATAAGTTTTTTTTTCTTGTTTTTCAATAAATTTTTCAATTAAATTTTCTCTTAAATAAACAGAATCTGCAGCAAGCAAATCGATTGCAACCATTGTTGAATGTTGCAATGGATGTTTATCACGATAATCACGAGAACCAACAAGAGGAATTTGTCTTTCATTATCTACGATAATTGCATAATGAGATTCCTTATCATTTTCTTGAATTTTCTAAACGAAAACCAAAATGAATTTTCCGTTTCATTTTTCTTTTATTATGAAAAATTTGTTTCACCTGAAATAAATCAAGAATAATATCATCTTGTTCAGTAAGATCTTTATTTAATTGTGATTGCTCAAGAATTTTATTTTCTCTGAATACTAAACCGGGCCAATGGTCTTTAATACATATATCATACTGCCATTTTAATAAACAAGGATTTTCCGGAATATTTATAAGTCGTGTTTCATTTTCAAAATATTTATCAAACTCAGTTTTTTCAAGTGGTGTGATAAATGATGATGGATAAAGAAGAATATCTAAATGATTATCATGTTTATGTAATCGTCTGATATGTTTTAAAGAATGAGGCCATGGATAAATAGTATTTATTAATGGAATAATATCTGACGTTAATTGTCGATCTTTCACACGAGCAACAGTCATCTGTATTAAATTAGGTAAACGAAGATAGTCATCATCAACAATCGGATGCCATTGATACTTTATTAATGATGATGATGAACTACATAAGCGTTTTGCAGGAGAAGTCATCTGAAAGAAAAACATTACAACGAAGCTAAGATTATGATGAAAAAAATGGCGATCCACCACGTCTCAATTGACGATCATAATCTTCTGCTGAAAATGTTCCTTGGATTTTTTCAAAATTAGGATTAAATACAGAATAAGCACTCAATTGATTACGTTCGCGTCGACGGCCCAAACTAGACCACATTACATAAAGAAGTGAAATTATAAAATAGATAGCACCAAATTCGAGACGAATAAATATTAACAATAATGTTAGCCATACGAAAAATTTCAATAAGATGATTTGCCAACTATTTATAGACGTCTCTTCTTCTTCTTTCTCTTGTTCGTTTTCTTCAACTTCTTCTTTTGGTTTTCTTTCATATGAATTTCTCCGTAAAAATGAGAATATTGATATAAAACGAAATTTAATTTCATGCCAATTGATTAATGGCTTTTTCTGAATATGTGTCTTACGAAATTCGGCTAATTTTGCTTCCATTCTTCGAATTATAGATTCATAAATGATCAGCAGTTTGAAGGAATGCTGCAGCAGGTTTTACAGAATAATCTTTTGATTTGATCATTATCCGCCGATAGAAATACTTTCAATTGACGTCAAATAAAAATCTATTTTGAAATGTTAATTTCTAGAAATAAATTTTTTTCGGTAAAGTCTTCGAAAAGTGCAAGCTAGAAAAACTAGCAATACGAGAGTCCAATCTAAAAAAAGATGTCGCTATCATCATACCCATAAGTTTTAATGTCAATATATACGTGCTAATAAAGCTCACTTTTTCGACCAGATCAAATCTGCATTGTTTGTATTTCTAATCTATTATATGAAATTAATTATTATGCTAATGATTAATATCATATAGAATTAAAATATTCAATGTCTGGAATCACCAGTGTAGACAATACTACTATTTTACATATTAAATTCTCGTGCGAAAACCTTATTACCACTATAGTGGTACAATGATTTCGCAATCGTTTCCCATGTTAAAGCATATTTTTAAGCAGTTTGTCAGTTGACGTATGTATATGTGGTCAGATCAATGATAGTTTATTCTGCTTTTCAATCGCAAGCTAACTAAAAAGTTATTTCAACAGTCAATATAAATCTGGAGTAGCCCACTTCTATGATTTTTATCATCATAATTTTGTGTGCACATTGACTGAACAAGACCGAGTAACCGTTTATTATATGATTCTTATGAATCTATGTCAAAATTAGAAAGTATATGAGAAAAACATTTATTAAGCAGGATATATCAGAGGTCTCTATAGTTTCTTGTCGAGCAAAGATAGAATTACGTTCTTTTCAGTTTTTCATATTTTTGAACGAAGAGATTTATAGATTAGGGGAAAACATCAGAAGAAATAATTCCATTCAGTTTTCAAGAATCTCTCAAAGCATTTTGATATATTCCTTTACTATTACGTGACGTAATTTATTTGAATTTTATGCTACTCTGTTTATTTTGGTTATTCTCATTAAAATCGTATTTCTACGATTGAAGACTGACTTTGTGAAAAAACAAGATATTGTTTAAATTCATCGAAAGTGAAAATTCTCTGTTGAATAATGTATTCTATTTTACATTTTTTAGCCTAAATCTCTTCGTTAGACAACACAAAATAACTGAAAAAGAAGAGAATTCTATCTTTACTTGATAAGAAATTGTAAATGCTATGAAAAATTTATTTGAATGAATATGGAATTTTTTCACATAATCTACTAGGTATTTGACTTATCGTACTAATCGATATCATCATTTGAATGAAGCCCGTACTGTTGGATTTGAAAGAAAAACATATGCCCTTAAAGCATTTTTGTAAATCATATGTCACGATCACGAATGAGATTGTTGAATAAAATGAAGTATTGTTTTGACATGAATAAGAAAAATAGCAATCGAAAAGAAATCTTGACATGAGTATCGTTAATAAACTATAAATCATTAACAGCTAGAACGAAAGACTTCTAACATATGCTGCAATAGAAAGATATTTGAAGAAATGCAGCTTCAGGAATTTATCTAACATGATATTCAAAATAAAGTCTATTTTCATATATTTTAATCAAAATAAATTCTTTTTATCAGATTGTATCTACTTGCTTCAATCTGTTGCATACTTTTATATATTTCATTCAAAATTTATACAATAGGAATAAATCGAAGCTGCGCAATTTAACTGTACAAGGTAATCACTATATGTTAACTAACAGCTGGATAGATATTTGCAGCCTTATAACACATGAAGTACGAAGAATATAAGTTCTTGTTCTGTTCTCTTCTCTTGTTTCTTCCGGACACATTCATATGTAATAATCCATCATAAGAACATCAACATCAGCATTTATATTCGTCTGTTCTTTCTTTGTCATGCGCAATCGTTTTCTTTTTCTCGTTCTTTCTCTATTTGACATTTGTATAAGAGAAGAACAACTGTTTTTTTTTCTCTCTGTATGATGAATACTTCGATGCATATCTGTTAACATCTGGATCATTTTTGTTACATGAAAGTTTTTCGTATTATATACTATTCATTATATCATCGACGACGTCGAAAATATTATTTATTTTTACTTTTGTTCATTATTTTAATAGTATTTCCGTACACATTTTATTGGTGCTTTGAAATATATGCTTATAATAGTGATATTAAAATATTTAAAAAAGACGTAGTAGAAAAATTCCGCCATGAAACACAAAACGATGATCTTGAAAGAGTTCATCCGATCCTTGCAAAATATATTCAAAGTCCATATAATATAAATGTATGGAGTATGATTAGAGAAGCTAATAGAAAATATGAAAGAAATAAAAGTACATATCTTGTGTATTCTTGTCCATTTATGTGTGGAGGTAAGAATTTGATATTTTTTCTTTTATGCAAAAAAAAAAGAACAAATTTAAAAACAATTAGGCTGGGGAGATCGAACTCGTAAAATTGTTGCAGCTTTTTTACTTTCACTTGCTTTGAATCGTACATTTATTATTGATATGACATGGCCATGTTCAATTGAACATATATTAACTTCAAATTTTATTTCATGGTCAAAATCATCACATGATCATATGAGAAATATTTCATCGTCAATTAATATTACTTCATTATCTTTTAACAATTATAAGATATTAAAATCTTATCATGAAGAATATTCTGTTCTTTATATTCAAACAAATAATATTGCATATTTTGATTTAGTAGCTCGCTACCCAGAATTATATAAATCATTATTTAATCGATTTCGACTGAAACAAGAACATATTCATATTATTACATTATATCCTCTGTTTTATGAATTGCTTATTAAATTAAAACCACATTTACAAGAAAAATTTGATCGACTTAATTTAAATAATTATCTACAAGGTAAGAAATAAGTGTTAAATAGGAATTTTATCGAAAAAAATAAAATATGCCTGGGAATAAAATGTCACAATATTTTCTTTTGAAGTATATTTGACTAATAATTCCGATAAAATAATCTTACAATTTTCATGAAAAAATTGAATTCATAAGTCTATTCTGTATAGATATGAACATAGATGATAGTCCACTATTGTGCGGCCATTTACGTATCGGTCGTAATCCATCAAATCCAAAAGATGTTGTATTTCCTCATCGTGAACATATGAATATAACTGTTTTAACATTTCTTTTATCACGTCCTGGTCGTGTATTTATTTCTACGGATTCTGGTGAAGTTCAACAGTTGGCTCGAAAATTATTTTCATCAAAAATTAATGAACCTTCACGTTTAATAGAAATCAATGGTACAATTGCACATATCGATCGTGATTGGAATTATTTAGCTTGTGAAAGTTTAGAAAAAACAATTCTAGATTTTCATGCATTGAGTTATTGCCATTTAGCTGTGATTTCAAAAAGTTCATTTGGGCATTTAGCTGCTATGCGAAGAATTAATCCCTATGAAGAATTATATCTTTATTGTGATGGCATTAAAAAAATTAATAATGCTGATGATTATAATAGTTATAAATATTCAACATGTTAACACATTTTTTATTTCATGTTAATTTGGAAAGAGATCGACAAGTTGAAAAGTTTTTTCAAATTGTCAAATTGTTATCGTTTAATAAATAATCTTATTTTAAAAGTCTTCATAAAACTAAAATTTGCTTTTGCAGTGTATGGGAGATTTAGAAAACTTGAAATTTCACAAAATATTAAGTTAAACTGGCAGAGAGAAGTTACTTTGGTCAATCAATTACCTTAGCGGATAACAAACGATGAAAGATTAATCAGCTTTATTATAAGATTTCAGAGTTGAGAAATATGAATATATGAGCTAGTTGCCTGCCAAATGAAACTGAAAACCAATTAGAGATTCAAATCCCTTGGCTCCAGAATACTTCGACTTAACTTTATAGAATATTATTCTTTATATTTCATGTTGCATAAGATGAAAAGGGATCATATTTATATGACATCAATAATCTGTGTGAGTAAATAATAAAAATCCTGTCAAGACTTCAAATCATAATCTTTTTGCTCAGCCAATAAACTATACAGTTTATTTTATTTTTATATATTATAACCATATCTAATAAAAAAAGCAATTTCATTATTATAATAAGTTAAAACGATAAGTAATTATAGATAATTTTTGTTTAACCAACTTATTTTAAGAGTAAACTATTTCATCTAGTTTTCTATACTATAGAAAAAAATTGTAACTATAAATATAGGAAACTTAGTTTGAATTCAATTCTCATTGAAACAGAAAATGACAATATGATCGTTTCATCTTGACTAGACTAGATGTTTTTTCTTTTTTTTTCTCTTCATTCACTTGCTATATATACGTTTATTAACATTGTATTTATCAAATAATATAGAAAATTTTGTTGAACTATTTATAGAGTCATAACTTGAATATATTTATACTATACTTAAAATCATAGTGCTTGGTACAGAAAAACGTTTTTAATAACATTTAAATAAAATACAGTTTTTTTGTCATATGATATTTTTCAAGTTCATATAATTCATTTAGTAATGGTATTTTCGTGGAGAATCTTGATTCAAAAATTGATTTGTAAATAACATCAGGAGAACGATTACCATGACAATCGTTGAATCTTCCGCAGACCACCGCGAGTATATGGTTTATTTCAACATTTTGATAATACTGGAGAATGAAAGCTATGGATCTTTCCAGTTGCAGCATTTTATGAAGTAAACGATGTGTTGCTTGTGCTTTATCATTTTTCAAATTGAATTTATTCTAGAATAAAGTTAAAAAAAACGTTTTTTTAAAATCAAATCATGGATTAGGGAGAATAGTAATAGACAACTGTACATTTTCAAGTTTTACTAATTCATCATTATCAAACGTTAAGTTTGACGTGGTAACCTCGCCACATATAATAGTGTTTGCCATAAATTCTTTTATGGTTGTATGTGACGATGTGGAGTGGATGGGCATAATGCTTGGCGAATTAATAAATGGTCGTTCAGTAGTTGCAGCTTCAAATGCGAATCCAAGAACATCAAATTGAATTTCTTGAGGTCGAAGAGATACCAAGACAGGTGTGTATTGTTTTGTCCATATGTGACTATAAGTTTTATGAAGATATTTTCCAAAATTATCAAAAACAATATTGCTTTGTTTCGAATAGTGTGCAGAGAATGTACGATTACTTGGTAACTAAGGTGTGTTTAACACATGGTCCACTTGCAAACGATTCATTATTGTTGATACGGCCCCTCGTTCATAGATATCGTCCATTTTCTGTGCCAATTGGTCAAATCTTTTGTTGAACTTTCCATCAAAACCTCGAACTTGTTTATCAATTTCATGGAGTTTGGTATCAATTTCATGGAGTTTGGTATCAAATTCCTTTCTTACATCTTGAAGTTGATTATCTAGGCTACCAAATCCGTCTTTAAATTGACGACTTAGGTCACCAAACATTGATTTTACTCCATCAAGAACTAATAATTAAATGTTAAAGCTAAAACATTCGTAGCAGTAATTGCAATTCGATGTATTTACGTGAATTTTCAGTTCTTGTTGAATCTGTGGCGTATCGTTGTTGTTCACCAATATTTGAAAAACTGGTAGGACTTTCTTTATGATCAACATCAGATGCTAGCATTTCACCATGTACACGATTAATGTTTATATAATTTTCGTTAACCGAATGTGAATTGTCACGTTCAATTTCTGGTGAATTATTAGACAACACCAATAGCGGTGGTATTTTCTTTTCTTTCGGTGAACTACTCTAAAGTAACAGTAAAAATAAATTTAATTGCGAAAGAAATCACGAAACGAAGCTTACAGAAATTCTACTCTGAAATGGACTTTGTTCAACTCCATCTCCATGCATATTGTTCTTCTTGCTTTTGTTTTTGTTTTTGTTTGTTTTTGTTTCTTTTTCTAATATTACCATATTGTTATAATTTGTTGCTGATGAATTGCTTGGTTCATTTTTGTCAACTGATGTTTTGGCAGTATTTAATGTGTCCACAAGCTAGAAATAAATTTGATCATATAATTAAAAAAGTATATTTATTTGTTAACCGGCAAAGGAACAGCATCAGTTTGTGCATCTGGAGCATGATTATCTCGACCTGTTATTGAGGATTGTTGCTGAGCTGAGCAGCACAGTAAATTTTGCTTAGTTGTTTTATTTGACATATAAGTGCTTGTTTGCACAAAGAAAAAAATTAAATTGATAAGAAGAAGCTTTTTCGATCTACAAAGGCAAATAAATGATGTAAAATGGTGTACTTTTCTCGTTTTTACACAAGTCTAATTAAAAGAAAATTTATTTTAGAGATTGGCAGTTGAGATGAATAGAATATGCGTCATGATACTGATCCTTCTTTTTTATTTTGTGTATAACTCTGATACAGACTCTTAGCCAACAAATTGTAGTGAAATTCCTAAACAATCGCAAATACCGTGCAATTGGTTCACTGACTTTATGAATGACGCTAGTTCTAACTTTAGTATCAATAGACAGACAAAGCTTTCCTCTATGAAAATGTATTCTTGTATTATTTACTTTTCATTGCCTTACAGAAAACAAACATCATGCGCACATCATAATATGATTGGTTCGCTTTTTTTGGCCATTGAACTGAAGGAGAATAATATATTTATTTATTTATCCTTTCTACAATCCTTCATTACATACCGATGAGTACAGCGGCAGTACGCACGCGACACAACTCCTATTGTTATAGGCAAATAAAAAGAAAATTGAACCAAAATCAGTTCATTGTGTTGATTGAATGATAAATAAGATTGAGGATAACTGCCATTATTGATAATTATTAAATGAAAAATATGTCACACAGAAATAGTCGAAAATGTATTGAACGCGTACGTTTTATATTTTGATGCTGTTCTTTAAGTGCGATGAAAAAGTTTTTTCCATATTTTTCAGGTTCACCTAAATCATTAACTTCTGAAATAAAAGAAATACTCAGAATTAATAGTTAATTAATCATAATTGCCGCATTATCTTTATGTCACTTGAGAGCATAACAAACATACTGAAAAATGAAAAAATGAAAAAAAGACTAAGAATAACGTGCATCTTCTAATTATTTGCACAGGAGTCAGATGCTATAGTAGTTTTTCTGAAGCTCACTTTTTAATATATCTTACATAAATAAAATAATTAGTCAAAATGCATGAAAATCACAGTTAATAAATTATTATTACAGGTTTATGATATCAAGTTAAAATCAAATATTTACTAATATTGCTTCAATTCATGAGTATTATTTTTATATTCTTTACACTGTTACTCTTTTTAAGTCATTCAACATTTTCCATGATTAAAATGCTTTTTCGAGAGTAGTAAAAAGAATTCTTTCTAAAACGGTTATTATTATTACATAACAATACAAGTATAAAGCAGAGATATAGCAGGAGAGAACAACAAAGAAAAACAAACACGCCCAACGTGGGTCTGTAACCCACAATATTGAAATTAAGAGCTTCACGCTCTACCGATACCGACTGAGATAGCCGGGCTTTCATATTTCTGTTACAAATTATAGCAGCATCAATCACAATTGTATTAATAAAAGGAAATTTGAACACTAGAATCTCAATTTTTACAAGTTTTTGTGCATATTATAATTTTTAAAAACTATTTTATATACTTCTAACAAAGTTTTTAGTTTGATTCAGGAGAAAAATCAGATCTTCTTTGAAGTTAGGAAAAGATACTTATTTTATTTTACCATAACTTATGTTTGAACAATAACATTAAATTGTTTTATTTGGAATAATAGTTGAATAATATATTTAGAGATAAAACAACATTAAACTGCATTCTATTAACATGTACTGAATGACAACAGGTATCAATGTTTTTCATTTTGTTCTCTTTTGCTTAAATTAATTTGTTTAGAATAAAAGAGAGAAATTTGAACAACAATGATTCGTCAAACGAATGTACATTAGAGTCTATATTAAGGATGGCGTTTATGTTCATACGTTATAGAAATATTTGATGATACAGAAATTTCATTTAACAAGATGTTACATAATAATGACAATCTCAAAACTCGTATGTATTAACAAGTAAGAATTTCTATTGTAAAAGGAAAATCTCAATGAAATTATTCCTTCGGAACATTCTATTTTGATTGATATTTAGCTTTCATTTGAAGAAAATCTTTTTCTAAAAATTATTAAAATTTAATATTGGAAGAGAAAGATTATCATAAACATTTAAATTTACTAGATAACTAAAATAAATTTTTGTTTTACTCAGATAAATTATATTTTCTATTAAGTAGATAAAATCCAGGGGCGACGCGAAGGGGTGAGAGCAGGAGGTCAATCCCAAAATCGGAGAAAGCCTCAGTAAAAATTTCTTGGGACAGGGGGTTATATCCCCCCCCCCACGGTGAAGCCGCCCCTCATGAAATCATTAAATATTGTTTTATGCAACTGTAAATTGGAAGTTTGAAATTAAACTAATTTCTCTTAATTGAATTTGCTGTGCTTTAAGATAATTAGATCTAAAATCAAGCATTTTGTCTGTATTCAATGTTACCTGGTCCTTTAATAGACTCTCTTAAATTAAAATATATCATTATAAAAAATCGAGAAGTGAAGACGAAGTTCAGGATGTCGGCGATTTAGATATTAAGAAACCTTGAAATAGGATATCTAATATAAGAAACGTTCGTTTCAGCTCACATTATCCATCTTGTTGACAATAGTATCCTATTTCGAACTTACATACCTTTCATTTGTATTAAATAATTTTTTCAAATCAGAATAGATCAAACTCATAAATTGTAAGTAAATAGTATCATTTGTTGCAAAATTTTAGTCAAAGCATTGTTTAGATATGTTTTCTAAATATCAGTTGTTGCGTGTGAGAATGCCTCTGCAAATATGTTTTTCGCTTCACTCACACACAAACTCACACCTGAAATTTGTCTTGTCTTACCAAGATCTCCTTTTATATCCCATCAGGGCTTAAATGGTGAGTTAAAACAGTGGTAGTTTCCTCATTAGAAAAAGTAAGGTATAGATTCATTTCATTGAATTTGAGATTCTGCTATCAGACGTAATATTTTTGTATTTTATACAACGAATAAAAGACAAAGAATTTGTCATGGTTATTTTGTGGAACTCACATATATATTTTCGCAGAAAATGGTGAGTGAAAGTTTAAAAGCGAGAATTTTGCGGCTCCCCACCCCCCCCCTCG